GGGTCGGCCCTGCTGTCTCGTCCAGGCAGTCAGTCACCCTGACCCTGCCTCCCCGCCGGTATCCTCCCAAATCAAAACTGGCGGTGCGCGAGTCTGAAACACGGACTCCCCAAAGCGTGGGACTGGATGGGCCGTGAATGGGCCGACCGCCGACTGCGGGTGGGGGGAGTTTAATGAGCAGTCGCTATTCCTGGCCCCCTCGAACGCCCCAAGAAGGCTCGCGACTGACCGCGACTGACCGCGACTGCCCCTGACGGGGCCGTGCTGGGCGCGCTAGGCCGGGCAAAGGTCTGAAGGGGGGGGGGGGAGGTCTTAATGTCTTAATGTCTTACTCGACCCGCCACCGCGCCTGAACCACCGCCCGTTTTCAGGGAGGCGCCCGCTTGCATTCCAGCTGCCCGTCCCACTCGCCCTCCCGACGCGCGACTGCCTCCCCGTCCATCTCCTTTTATCTCCCCTCGCCAGCTGCCTGTCGGTTCCCCAGCAGCCAGCAGCAGTAGCAGCAGCCAGCTACTTCTGCCCACCTCTTCCCCGGATCTCACTCACCACCCAAGTTAGATCCAACCCCCTCCCCCAATGGACGAATCTCATCTTGCCCAGCTCGCCAGACGAGCCGCCGCCATTCCGCTGCCTCTGTGGGCGCGCGGCGACGACGATTCTTCCTCCTCGTCCGGGGAAAAGCCCGTCAGCAACTTCCTCAAGAGCGGTGTGCCGGGCATCATCGTCGGCGTGTACGTGAACCATGTACCTCCCCCGCCCATCTCCCCCAACTAATGGCCCGCTCTAGCATTTTTGTCGCCGCCGTCGGCGTCTGCTGCTACTTCCTCTATCGCAACAAGAAGCGCGATGCCAAAGAAGAGGCGTCGGTTCGGGAATGGAACGAGGCATGACCGTGATCGGCAGGATCTGCTGCAACCGGGGAACTCGTCCTCCACCGTTCCATTCATCCATCCATCATCATCATCCTCCTCCTCCTCAATTCACATGCCCTCTCTCTCTCTCTCTCTCTCTCTCTCTTTTACCTTCTACTCTCTCTGACTCTCACTCTCACTTCCACTCTCTCCGTCTTCGTCGCTCGGACTCTCTCTAACTTTTTTCTTTCCTTTTTTTTTTTTCTCTCTCACTTTCCCGGCCATCTCTGGGTCTTGACCTCAAAATCTGTCCCGCGTTTTTTTGCCCTCATCGCCGTTTCTGTTCCGGTGTTTTCTGTCCTCTTCCGCTGCGCTTGGGATACCAATTTGCATCACCATACCCCCGTCCCGCACGGGCTTCACTGGCTGAAGTGCGCGAGATGTACGACTAGTAGTTCGATCCTCGGGTCCTGTGTACCTTATCCAATTGAGTCTGGCACCGCTGGTTCTGCACTGGCCCAGGGGTGACTCCACATCTTCCACTGCTCTTGCGTTTGCGTCTGCGCTTCGTAGATGTCTGCAGCATCTCAGTCTGCTGCATTAGATAACCGCAGCTAAAAGACTCACAACCTGGAAAAAAGACGCGCTCACCATGAAGGCAAATACGCTCACACCCTCACAGCCACTCAACCTATCACCGTTTCCATGGAGGTGCTTCACCGACCCTATCCCAAGATCCATCTCGATATCACTATCATCTCTCGACCCTGCACAAGCCAACCCATCGCCAACATAATCCCGCTGATTAAGCGGGGAAAACACACACACACACACACACACACACACACACACACACACACACACACACGCCCCCCTCACATTAACCGTCACATTAACCTTCACATTAGCGAGCCTAAAATAGTACACTTCACTGCAAGCATCTACCATACGGTACTCCGAGGCCGGGCAGTAGTCCGGCCGACTAGCGTGCAGAAGCCCGAACAGCCCGGCCGACGCGTGAAGACGCTGGCAAGGCCCCACCGCGGAGGGGACGCTATTGATTTTCGCCCTTGCAGATGAGATCAGTCTGCGGTCTGCGGCCTGCGGTCTGCAGTCTGCACGGTGTGAGACCTTTGGAGCTTGGATCTGGATCTGGATCTCCAATAGTCTACGGTGTGCACAGTGCTCCGTACAATGGACAAACAATAGTTATGGGCTGCTAGTGAGTGGGTGGGGGCGAATTCCAAGGCTGTTCTTATCTAATAATAGACTTGTCTTCTGTTACCTATGCAACATGGGGTCACTGGAGGCACGGTTTCGAGTCGGTGACACATCCAAAAACAGGCTGGACGTGTCATTTGGTGTTTATATGTCAGCCACAGTGGCTAGAAATTGGATCTTCGCTTCATTTCAGAAACCCGGTCATCTGAGAAGTCAAAGACGCTATGAAATTCCACGCTCTACGTTACTCGTCTCATCAACATGCGATCATCGATAGACATCAGTCATCACGTCCCGCTTCAATCAAACCCGGGCGTCAGGATTCATCCGTCGTGCACCTGCACCCCGCTGGAACTGCCCATCGTCTCCACCGTCCGGTACACATACACCCCGCCCGCATGGCTCGGGTCGATAGCCACCCGCCGACTCTCCTGGCCGGCATACTCCTCGAACATATCGTCGACCGACTGGGTCTCCCTCCGCAACCCGGGGTCTTCGAACCGATCTGCCACCAGGCCGGTGATGCCCAGCCGGGCGTGGAGATCCGGGGCCTCGTGTCGCGCCGTCCACAAAGCCAGCGCGGCAAACACCACGCCGCACACGATATACAGGGCGTTCACGGCGACCAACGTGAAGAGCGGCGCCTTCGGCACGCGGGCCACCAGCAGCGTATCCTCCTCCTGGACCAGGTCCGACGGCCGCGCCTCGATCCCGTCCGCGCCCAGCGCAATCACGACCTGACTGAAGGCGCGGGCCACCGTCTCGGAGAACTCCGGGCCCGTGGCGCTGAAGGCGGCGATGCCGATGGCGTCCTGGATGTTGGCCTCCCAGTCGACCGTCTGCGAGATGCTGGTCTGCCAGATATTGCTGGCGGAGGTGTTGCTGACGGCGGGGGCGAAGCGGGTGATGGCGTTGTTGACGCGGTGGTAGCGGATGTCGTGGATGGTGGTGTGGCAGCCCAGCACGTAGCCGTAGGGCCCGGACTCGTTCTGCACGAACTCGGTCGAGTTGGGGACGTGGCCGCCCGAGGCGCTCAGGATGCCCGCGACGGCGTAGTAGAACGGGTTGCCGGTGCCGTAGTTGGACGCGTCGCTCTCCTTGGTGTCGTCGGTCATGCGGGCGTCGGGGAAGAAGCCCGTGGTCAGGTCGGTGTTTTCGATGTAGCCCGCGAACCCGCTGGAGCAGTTGTAGCGCAGCGTGGTGGCCACCTTGGTCAGGTTGCACTGCGACGAGATGAGCGCGCATTGCGTCGACGCGCCGTACGTCTCGGCGGCGAAGTCGCGCCTGGCGACGACGGGGCTGTCGGGGATGCCCAGGTACGCGTAGCTGGTCTGGTTGGCCTCGTGCGTGGAGACGGTCGCCAGGGACGAGACGCTGTCCATCACCCCCAGGCTGACGGTCGCGTTGGCCAGGAAGGCCCCCGTGGCGGCCACGCTGACGCTGCACACGCTGTTGGCGGCCCTTTGGCCCGCGATCGAGTTGTTGCTTTGCAGGCACTGGGGCGTGAGGCCGAAGCTGTAGGTCGCGTAGATGGAGGTGACGTGCGCGAAGGAGACGGTGGTGGTGGTCAGGTGCAGCCAGGTGTCGGCCAGAGAGACGAGCAGTCTGCAGCAGACGAGAGGGATTAGAGATGGTGAAGCAGGAAGGATAACGATGGGTAACGGTAACGTACCCGAGCAACGTCGCGAGCAGGGCTGCGGATGCGGCCATGGTCAGCGGTGGAGTCTGTCGCTGGCGCTTCTTGCCCCACGACACCAGATACACCAGCCAGCTCCAGGTGGCGCCCAGACTGCCGCCGTCGAGAAACTTGAGTAGTAGGGCTAGCTGGTAGGGGGTGGGCAGCCGCTGGATGCGCCCCCGTTGGATGTCCTGTAGGAGGCGCCGGGCGATGGGGAACGAGGCCAGGGTGATGAGGAAGCCGGACAGCATGTGGCCCAGGGAGCTGGCCCACGAGGTCACAAACAGGAGCACGCTCGAGTTCATATTGACGTAGTACGCGTCGTGGGATTCCTGATCCCAGGCCTCAAGGAGACTCTCGAACAGGGTGAAGCCATGGCTGACTCGGTTGCGGAAGACCAGCGCCAGGAAGACCGCAGTCAGGGCTGTTAGGGGCACCGTCAGGACGAACCAGCTCCAGAGAATGGTCAGCCGGTGGGAGGTGATCCCCGTGGGTTCCTGCTTCACTTTCTGTTTTCTCTTCGGGGTGTTGGAGGATGTCGGCACGCTGTCGACCGAAACGGCCGTGTAGGACTGCGCCATGGCCTTGGGGGGGGATTGTAGAGGATCGGCGGAGGGAAAGCATGATGGGAATGTTCGGAGTGTGCCGATCTATATAACAGAAAATAAAAAACAGAGGGGTACAAGGCTGTCAGCAGCAGCACCGGCGCTACCAGTCGGACGAGGCTGTGAAGCTGTAACCCCAACGACCGTGAGGGCTAACGCTCCAGGGTCCCAGGGGGGTGCGTCTGCCAGCATCATTGGAGGACGGGAATGGCTGGGTCGGCCCCGAGCAGGGCTGATTGGATGGTTCCTGAGGGTTCGAGGGGCTGTCATTCGGCCTGGCAGGCCGTGGAGGAGTCGCTCGCTCCTTCGCGCCATGCGATTTAGCCGGCGCCTCAGCCACGATGAACAGCTCAGGATCCGGTGTTGACATGTCACTGAGGTCATGTATGAGTAACCATGGGATGGTATCGCATGGGAAAAATGAGGGGTTCAGGGCCTTGCTGGAAGCTGATGAAGAACATGTTTGGGCATCAGAAATATCGGGGAGGCGTCATTTGAAACAGGCTCGATGGGCCGGTAAGGAATCATAGTCGCCGATGGCGAGGTGGGGAATTGCCAAAAATAAGCACTAAGGAAGAAGAGGGGTGGGAGGACAAAGCAGGTGTAACAAACACCAGACGAAAAAAAGAAAAGCAAAAAAAGATGCGTCCTAGGAGAGGATCGAACTCTCAACCTCACGATTAACAGTCGTACGCGCTAACCTGTAGATTTGAATTAGTAACTGTGAGATGCTGAATGCTGCGGGCGGGTTCGCTTACCAATTGCGCCACCAAGACAACTCGATGCGAAACGTGCAATCTTCCTGCTTCTTAATCACATTTCACGTTCCCCTCCCCCCCCCATCAACATACGTCTTAGATTGGATCCTCAACACATCTAGCGGTTTAGGATGCCAGCCTCTTTCTATTTACCCGAGAATATAATCCATACTCTGTATGGCTTGATCGATCGTGTATTCGGTGCCGACCTCCCTGCTTCTTTGCTTGGGTCTTCCGACTAGTTTCTCGGTCAGTCTTGAGTGCATAATGAGTCCCTTATTGCCCCGAATTTGTGGATCAATCGGGGCCTTGGGGGTCTGCGACAGTGCCAAGTTGAGGTCCTGGCCAGGTCATAGTATTTGATCTTAGCAGCCGGTATTGTCTTGCATTGCGGACCGTTTTACGGGGTACTTCGGAGGTGTTGAACAGAGGATCAACAGGTTTGAGTTGAGAACAAAGGCAATTTGACCGTTGACGGGGTATTTTACTTTACGTTATATGCCTATCGATTATTTGGATTTGGCGATATCTACAAAGGGCTATAATGCGCAGGAGACAAAACGGTCCGGAGGAACGGAGCTACTGATCTCCATATTCCGTAACGGCCGATGAAGGGGATGAACCCCGGCATCGGGAAACAACAATTCAAAACCATTGTTTGTTTCGGAGGAATAGAGATGTTTCATTCCTAACATTAAGCGAACAATCGCGCTTTGCTAGCATCCACCAGTCTGGCTGCTGTTGAACAATGGACAGGACTTCCCCGGGTCCACATCATCAGGGTCTGCTTCTTCCGAGGCTACCCAAAATATCATGAGCATCTAGAGAATGTATCTCGAGCTACGCTTTGTACAAAATGCGGGTCTTTCAACGGAGTAAGATAAGAAGAGGGCAAAAAACAAATTGCAAAAAAAGAAATCTCCTCGACTGGGAGTCGAACCCAGGTCTCCCGCGCTTGTTCCTTGGGAGGATTGACAAGCGGAAATCATGACCGTTAGACCATCGGGGATTAGATATTGGAGATATTCCTTCCTGCTTATATCAGCCTGCAAAGACAATTATTAATCACTCTCATATCAGGTAAACTCTTCAGACATCAGATCAAAAGATAGTAAAATATGAGGTTTAAACACCATCCCACTATTTAAACAGAACTATACTATCTATGATGGACCCTTTGTGGCTTCATTAGTAATTTATATTCATATATTAGTACTGAATAGCCACCCCGGGATAGTATATATTCCCGGGTAGATACTAATCAATTTCATCAAAAGAGTACTGCATCAGGCTCTTGAAAAGTATAGTAACCACACAACACAATGTCATTTAATTTTGCTTGGCAAAGTGTTCAATAATTGAGAAAGCTACGACGTAGGACGTCAGTTGCCACGAAAACAGGAGATTGTCTGACAAAGAACGGTCTTATCACTCGCTCTACACCGAGTGGGGCTATCTCTCATGGCTATCTAATCAGCCCAGTTCTGCGGTTCTACGGTTCTACTGCTCTACTGCAGTTAATCAGAAGATCGTAATAAAAGCCAAATCACATTAAGAGCTATTAGTGTACAGGATTAAGGAGTGACAATCCAGCCACCGACTGAAAGTGCATCTCCATCAATAAGAAGCATTCCCCCGCAATTCAGCTCACAATTATCAGAAAAAGCATAGTACAGAAAAGGAAAGAAGGCCGATCAGAAACATTTGCCATGCCGAAACTCCGAGCTCGTCAGATCGTGAATCGTATCATCGCCGATGAGTTACTCGATGGTGATCTTCTTCGCGACGGGAGCGGCCGCCTTGGGCACGAGGAGGGAGAGGATGCCGTTCTTGAGGCTGGCCTTGACGCCGTCCTGGTCGACGCGCGTGGGGAAGCTGAAGGTGCGGTGGAACTCGCCGACGGAGCGCTCGCTGACCCAATAGTGGTGCTTGGCCTTGCGCTTGTTGGGCTGCTTCTCGTCGGGCTTGCTGTCGGGGCTGCCCTCGGTCTTGGTGCTCTCGGAGCCCTCAGAGGGGGCGGGAGTGGGGACCTGGGCCTCATCGCGGTCGGTTGTGTGGTAGTCGCGCTCGGTGCGGCCCTTGATCACGAGAGTCTGGGGGTCGGAGAACTCAATGTCGATGTCCTTCTGGGCGATGCCGGGCAGTTCACCGTCCAGGTGGTAGCCCTCGGCGGTCTCGCGGACGTCGAAGCGAGGCGCGAAGGAGCGAGCAGTTGAGGCGCAGGCGCTCTTGCCAGACCGGTGGACATCATAGTCATCGAGCAGGCGGAAGAGGGGGGCGAAGTCGCCGCCAGTGGGGATGGTTCTGAAGAGAGACATTGTAGTGGTAGTGGTGGTTGTGTGAGGATTCAAGAGATAAGAGAAGAGAATGGTGGAAGTGTGAGTGGTTTTTCCGTTGCGATTGAGAGCAGTGGAAGTGTTCTTCGGATGCTTGTAGATGATGTTGTTGATGATGAGGAGGATCGAATGAACCGGACCTTGAGTCCCTCTTTATAGCCCGGGGGGGGGGGGGGGCATGATGGCGCATTGAATGGAGGATATGCCAGGATATGCCAGGAGGTGCCAGAAGGGACCAGCAGGGACCGGCAGCGCGGAGATAGGGCTGGCGGGCGCGAGACAGGGCCAGAGGGTGCCGTAAGCGGCGGGAAGCGGCGGGCGCCCGCTGGAAGGCCCCCGACGCTGCGGGAGGCCGCGGGACGCTTCTCGTGCCTTCCACGGGTCACGTGACGCATCGCCACCCTCAATCGGTCTGGCTTACGAGATCATGGCTGGTACTGACGCTTCACTGCCAGAGGGTAGAGGCCTTGACTTTATTCTGGAAACTCACTCGTCTAGTACCATTCAACAAGTATCCAGATTTGTATGCTTAGTCACAAGCCATAGACAGCTACAGAACTTCACAGACACCACTGTGTCCCGACTGGACGGGCCCGGACGATCCCGACAACCCGCGCAACTTCTCGTTTGCCCGCCGCATCTTCAACATCGCGGCCGTGACTGCCCTGGCATTTGTCGGCACCTTCGGGGGTGCCGCATACGCCCCCGCTCAGGACGCCGTGGCGGCCGCATTGCACTGTCGCACCGAAATGGCCATCCTGCCCTTGTCCCTGTACAACCTGGGTATGGCCTTTGGGCCGTTGGTCGGCGCCCCGCTGTCGGAGATCTACGGGCGCAAGGCAGTCTTCTTGATCACCACGCCTATATTCGTCTTGTTCCTCCTCGGGGCCGGCTTCAGCACGAACATCGCCTCGCTGACGGTCTGCCGGTTCTTTGCGGGCGTGTTTGCGTCCCCCAGCATCAGCAACGCCTCGGCCACGATCCTCGACGTTGGCCAGATCAACAAGGCGACAGTGGCCGTTCAAAACGCCATGGAGGCCGATCCCAAGATCGGATCGTTCACCAATACCAACTTCAACAATGGCTTTGTGGCCGTGGGCTTGTTTTACGGCGACCACCTCATCGAGCCACCGTCCGCCTTCGAGCCATTCCAGAACCTCAAAAGCCTGATGACGACGGTCCTCCCATCCACAAATGGCACTTTACTATCGCTAGCCCAAGCCATGGGCCATGCCCAAGAGCCCAAGAAGTGAGTCTATGCAGATAAAATAAAAACGGACCACAAAAGTCACTCACACGCGACAGGCGAGCCATTTGCACGGTCACCACACAGGTGTCAGGGAAAGGATCGCGGAGAGAATATCATGGGACATGACAGTGTTCCGCAGTGCTGTAAGTTCACACCGCGCCCCCCAAAATAATACCTGTTACCGTGTGTCAGAAAGCATACGTAGTGGATGGAAGGCTAACATAAGTTCAACGCATAGGGTGGGTCTTCACTTGTGAATGGCCCCAAGATGGCGGCTATGACGCTGCCGCGCAACAGGCAGTGGATACAATGTCCGAAACAGTACAGACACTAGCCAAGGCAAAGGGACTTCTACTTGACTTCAAGTGCATGAGTTTTGCCAGTGGTTCGCAAAAGGTGCTGGGCAGTTACGGGGCCGATAACCTCAAGCGGATGCAGGACGCTGCGGCCAAGTATGACCCCGAGGGAATTTTCCAAAAGTTGCAGCACGGTGGCTTTCTTCTGCGCAACAACATCTAATGCTATAAACCCTGCCTAATAGCGGGGAGCTTTGTGACCCCAGTTAACAGGAAAGCTGGTTTGGCATGGAATCCGCCATGCTCTTGCCATAGCGACCACCCCGATATATACAAATAAGAAAGGTCTATTTTATTAAACTAAAAAGAGCTAATGACTGTTTGGTCCCCGTGTTACCCCATTCAAACTCTCATGCGCGACCGCAACATCTGTCGTGATGACAATCCCCATATTCCTCTCGAGATCGAGACTGGGGCCGTGTTGCGTCGGCGAGGCGAAATCCATGATTTGCTGCTGACTGGTGCCGGACAGCGCCCGTCCCTTTCTTCTCCAGCCCATGGACGAAAGCTCATAGGGATGAGGGTCGTACGTGCTGATGACAGTGATATCCCGACCGCTTTTGGGATTGTAGAGGGTTGTGGTCTGGGTCTTGTCCCTTTTGCCATAGCCCCCGGACGATCCGTACGACGCGAACCACGAGAAGCGGGAGAAGAGCGGTTTGACGCCGGGCGCGCAGACGATGATCGCTGAGACCAGGGCTTGTCGCGAGGCCCAGCCCAGGGCGGTCGACAGGGTGTTGATGTCTTTGACCGAGTAGTATGCGCGAAGGGCGGCGGCCACCATGACGAACACGCCCGAGGAGAATAGCCCGCAGAGGATCCATTTCTGGGACTTGGGGATCTTGGCGACGATGATGAGGGGGATCGGAACGCACATGATGGCGAGATCGGTGCTGGAGGATGGTCAGCTGGGGTGATAGCCCGTTGGGTGTGGCACCTACGTGATGCTCAGAACCTCGATCACGATATAGTTGAGCGGGCGGATGGTGCAGTTATCTAGTCTCCGGTCAGTATTGACGAGGATGAAGGGGGAGAGTGGGAGTCCCGCTCACTTCCCGCATACGGCTTGACTTGCCA